TTGGACACAACTGAGCACACATGTTGCCTTAATGGTCCGGTAGCAAGCGATGAGAATGAAGACAGAATACGAAATCTGGAGCAATGGGCCAAGGGACCTGCAGCCTCTATTGGACTGAGGTGTAGAGTCCACTCTGAGTCCAGATTTTACTCCTAATTGCAGATTACAAGACTTTCTTAGATCTTATCTTTCTCAAGACACTACACTGACATAGCCCGATCTCCTTGTTTTTCCCCCAGGCCTTTCCCTTCTGGGCTAGTCTTGGGCACACTGAGCAAGTGTGTAGGCAGCATTCATGCCTGATGCTGACCCGGTGTTCCAAGGTCCATGCTGTCATAATCCTAGTCATACTCCCTTCTGGGTCTGGTCTTGGGGTTTGTAACAAGGCGATTATTCTAAGAAAAACATGAAAGATAATTATTAACACAGTTTCTTAATATACACTGTTTTTCCAGGTGCTATTTCTGTGAAATTTCTCAAGGCTGTGAAAGTACGTTATTAGGAATTCCCACTACACACACACACACATGTGCTAGAACAGGCAGAAGTAATTTATAGTTAAAGAAATCAGATCAATGGTTGCCTTGATGGGGACTATAAAGAGGCACAGGGAACTTTCTGCACTGATGGGAATTTTCTAAATCTTGACTGGGGAAAAATTAACTTTGGTGTATACATTTGTGAAAGTTCCTTGTATTTTATTGTATGTGAAGTATACGTCAATGAGATTGATTTTTAAAACGAGGCCGTTTGGGGACTCCCCTGGTGATCCAGTGGTTAAGATTTTGCCTTCCAGTGCAGGGAGTGTGGGTTCAACCCCTGGTCAGGGAGCTAAGACCCCATATGCCTCATGGCCAAAGAACCAAAACATAAAACAGAAATGATGTTGTAACAAATTCAGTAAAGACTATAAAAATGGTCTACATAGGACTCTGGGAGAAGGCGAGGGTGGGATGTTTCAAGAGAACAGCATTGAAACATGTATATTATCTAGGGTGAAACAGATCAGTAGCCCAGGTTGGGTGCATGAGACAAGTGCTCGGGCCTGGTGCACTGGAAAGACCCAGAGGGATCGGGTGGAGAGGGAGGTGGGAGGGGGGACCGGAATGGGGAATACAGGTAAATCCATGGCTAATTCATTTCAATGTATGACAAAAACCACTGCAATGATGTAAAGTAATTAGCCTCCAACTAATAAAAATAAATGGAAAAAAAATGGTCCACATAAAAAAAAGTCTTAAAAAAAAATAAAATGAAGCAGTTTAATACTTAACTGGTACAGGAAGGTCTCAAAAACTTCAGTAAGTGAAAAAAAACAGATGTCAAACATTATGTAATCTATGTTCTTCTTGGGGTGGAAAAAAAGAAAAGGAAAGTGACAATGGTTGCTTCCTGATAGTTTTTGTCTTGTTAGTTTTACAGAATGAGGAGCCATTTTACAGAAAGAAGAGGATAATATTGGAGTCATATTTAATTTCTCCATTTGGAAATAATACTGTCTTTTGAGATACAGAAAGCTGGGAAGTTTTTATTCAGAAAAAGTAAGTATACTAGAAATCAAATCTGCCTGATTACACAGTGTGCTTTCAAATATGGGTGGTATTGAATAGAAAAATCAATTTATGCCTTCCTTTGATCAGTTATATATGGAATTCCCATCATATATTCTTCTGTGATTTGGAGAATTCAGTTATAAATATGGTGGCCCGTGATAAATGGCAGAACCACAGATAAGCCACAAGAGTAATGGTTTTAAAAGATTGGTCCCCTGCCATCACCTGCTCAGGCTTATCCTCCTGGTAAGACAGCACAGAGATCTGTCAAAATTATTGTGAAGAAACATGGCGAAGTCTAAGTGGCAACAAAGATGTAACTCTTTCCACCTTGATGACCAGGTCTAGAGTATGCTGTCCAATGTAGATAGTAGCAAGTAGCCTTTTGTGTCTATTTAAAATGTGAATTTAAATAAACAAAAATTAAATAAAACTTAAAATCCAGTCACACAGTCACACCCGAGCCACATTTCAACTGCTCAATATAGAACATGCGTATCATCTCAGAAAACGTGGTGCCGCTCCAGCTGAGCTTAGCGGTAGGGATCAGCCACAGAGACAAGAAGGACCTGCGATGGGACTCTGGAGGTCTGAGCACCTGACGATGCAGCTCAGATCGGAGGAGCCGTGGGGTCTTTGGGAGCAGATACCCACTTGGATTTGTCAAGAAAGATTTGAAAAGCAGGAGCAGCCTAACCCGAGAGAAAAATAATGCAGACAATGTCTGAGAGTATGACACCAGAGAGACATTTCTCAGAGCTGGGAGGGACTGCCTGGGAGAGTTAGATCTTGGCAAGTCAGACATGAGACAGCTTTTCCAGGGAACCTCACCACGAGAGATGAGCGTTTTGCAGTGATACTCTTCAGAAAACACCAAATTTCACCGCAGATAAAATGTGCTACTACTTTGAGTGATGGCAACAGAATAATGGCTAACAATAGTAGCTAACATTTATTGAGCTATTACTTTCTATGAAATACTATACATGAATTCTCATTACAACTTCATAAGTAACTTCTCAACTCCATTGTACAGATAAGGAACAAATGGTATACTGGAGCTGGTTCTTACTGTTTTATGAGACCTGATTGCTGAATGTTTATGCTTTATGCTAGCCAGCTGACATACATTGTTAGCTTGAAATTGGCCATAGTGGAAATATTTATAATGTGCACATTGGTAGGTGCTATGGATTTGGGCCTTTACCCTCAGAGAGGCAGTGTTTTCAACAGTTAGCAGCACAGCACTGAAGTCAGCAGAGGCTTAGCAACTTGCCAAGGCTGCCCTGCTGGCTCAGATGGTAAAGAATCTGTCTGCCAATGCAGGATACCTGGCTTTGACCCCTGGGTTGGGAAGATTCCCTGGAGCAGGAAATGACTACCCACTCCAGTATTCCTTCCTGGAGAATTCCATGGAGAGAGGAGCCCAACAGGCTACAGTCCACCGGGTCACAAAGAGTCAGACTTGACTGAGCAACTAACACTTTCACTTTCTCAAGGTTACACAGATGGTAGCAACTGGCAGATTGTATGCTAGTCTCCTTGTTTGAAATCCCAACATCTTACCCCTCTGACCTTACTCTTGTACAGTGAGGACAAAATTACTCACTTTACTTTGTTATCAGAGAATAAAACATCTTGTTCACCAAGGACTCTGATGTTAAGAATGAGGGGCTTTACAGAGCTTTTCTTGAAAGCCTGGAATTCAAGCATTCAGCATTCCCATAATTCAAGATAGGTCCAAAGAAGGTGGTGGTGGGGGGATGAATAACACTAATGCTCTGGCAACATGATGCTAGTATACATATTTTGTATAAATGAATAAATATGTATATTTCCCCTCACTCCCTCAGTGAATTTCATAAAGGAGAACAGTCAAGTTCTCATTCAAAGGATGGGAATGACTGTGATAAAGCAAATTTTGGACCAGCTATTTGTATGGAATGTTATGAATTATGAAGAAGTAGATGTCATTTGCTGCGAGAGCTTGAGCAGGATGCTGCAAGAGCGGTCATTCACATGATTTTGAAGAAGGGTTCAGAAGCCTGTAACCTCTTTCTTAAATCCCTTGAAAAGTGGAACTATCCTGTTTCAGGAATTGCATGGACTAAGTAAGTATCAGTTTGCTTTTATATGTTCTACAAACAGAATAAACCATGAAGAAGATCCATAATCCCCATGACAGAGCCTCTGCTCTCCTCCCTTTCCATATTCCTGGGCTGTGAGCTTTGGTCTCATTCGGGAAAAGCTCAGACACTCTCAGGAAAAACACTCCCATTAGATTACTTGATGGTGAAGCCAAATAAGAAACTCCAAGGTCAGGGAATAAATGATTTAGCATAGTCTGACTTCAGAATCAAACTGGATAATGAAGGTGCTTAAGTAGTCAATGCAGGGACTCACCTGGCAGTTCAGTGGTTAAGACTCCACACTTCCACTGCAAGGGGCACAGGTTCGATCCCTGGTCAGGGAACTAAGATCCGTCATGCCAAGTGCCCCCCACCCCTAAAAAATAGAAGTCAATGCAGTAGTAGTTTTCAACACTCCTCAATCTGATGAGGACCATCTTTGGACAAGTGGCCCCGTGACTACCCACTGTGATCCAAGCACCATGCTAAAGAGAGCCTGAGTGACTGAAGCAGCATGATTCTGCTTTTCATGAAATATTAATCAAGGTTAACTCTTGATTTGCTGAGCATCACCCCAGACCATCATTCTAAGCCATTTCCCCACTAGTCTCATGCACTTTCCTTATTCCAAACACTGGCTCGTCTCCTTTCCAATCAGCTGCTACCAAGTTTGGTGGTGGAAAGGAAGAAACAGAAGGGGAATGAAGGTAAAGGGTAACAGGGAAAAGCAGGAGTAAATATCTGGAACCCTTTCTGCCAGTTCAGAACTGGGGAAGGAAATTAAAGTCAGACTCTCAGCACCACCCCTCCTTCCTCCTCCTGAACACTAAGTTCTGGGGAAACACAGAACTGGGTCCTTTTTAACCTCACCTCTTCTCTAACAGGTCTTTTTCATCAGACGTCAGAAGAAGACTTAGATGATTTTGCTCAGGAATTAAAGTACTTCTATCAGAGCCCATCTTTTCTCAACTTCTATCCCCTGGGTGAAGATATTGACATCATGTTTAATTTGAAAAGCACCTTCACAGAACCGGTGCTATGGAAGAAGGACCAACACCATCACTGCCTGGAGCAGCTGACACTGAGTGGCCTGCTGGACACTCTTCAGAGCCGCTGCATCATCGAAGGGGAATCGGGCAAAGGGAAGTCCACTCTGCTGCAGCGCATCGCCATGCTCTGGGCCTCCGGAGAGTGACAGGCTCTCACCAAGTTCAAATTAGTCTTCTTTCTTCGTCTGAGCAGGGTCCAGGGTGGACTCTTCGAAACCCTGTGTGACCAACTCCTGGATATACCTGATGTGATCAGTAAGCAGACTTTCATGGCCAGGCTGCTGAAGTTACGGCAGGGGTTTCTTTTTCTCCTTGATGGCTATAATGAATTCAAGGCCCAGAACTGCCCAGAGATTGAAGCCCTGATAAAGGAAAACCACCGCTTCAAGAATATGGTTATCGTCACCACCACCACAGAGAGCCTGAGGCACATCCGGCAGTTTGGGGCACTGATTGCCGAGGTGGGGGATATGACTGAGAGCAGTGCCCAGACTCTTATCCAGGAAGTGCTGAGAAAGGAGTTCGCTGAAGGTGTGTTGCTCCAAATTCAGAAATCCAGGTGCCTGAGGAATCTGATGAAGACCCCTCTGTTTGTGGTCATCACTTGTGCAATTCAGATGGGGAAAAGTGAGTTCCACTCTCACACACAAGCCATGCTGTTCTGTGCCTTCTATGATCTGCTAATAAATAAAAACAGGCATAAACGTAAAGGGCTGGCTCCAAGTGAAGTCACTCAGAGCTTGGACCACTGTGGAGACCTAGCTCTGGAGGGTGTATTCTCCCGCAGGTTTGATTTCGAACCAGATGACTTGTCCAATGTGAACGAGGATGTCCTGCTGACAACAGGACTCCTCTGTAAATACACAGCTCAACGGTTCAAGCCAAAGTATAAATTCTTTCATCAATCATTCCAGGAGTACACCGCAGGACGCAGACTCAGCAGTTTACTGACATCTGGAGAACCAGCGGAGGTGACCAAGGGGAATGGTCACCTGCAGAAAATGGTTTCCATTTCAGACATTACATCCAAGTACAGCAACCTGCTCCTATACACGTGCGGCTCATCTGCCGAAGCCACCCGGACTGTTCTGAAACACTTGTCAGCAGTGTATCAACATGGCAGTCCCCTTGGACTTTCCGTCACCAAGAGGCCTCTCTGGAGGCAGGAATCTATGCAAAATACGAAAAGCACTACTGTGCAAGAAATTCTGAAAGCCATAAACATCAATTCCTTTACAGAGTGTGGAATCAACTTATTCCATGAGAGTATATCCACATCTAGCCTGAGCAAAGAATTTGAAGGTTTCTTTCATGGTAAAAGCTTATATATCAACTCAGAGAATATCCCTGACTACTTATTTGACTTCTTTGAAGATTTGCCTAACTGTGCAAGTGCTCTGGATTTTGTTAAACTGGACTTCTATGCGGGGGCTGTGGCTTCGTGGGACAAGACCACAGAAGACATAAGCAGGACCCAGGATCAAGAGTTCTCAGGAACCTACATTCCCAGCAGGGCTGTGTCTTTGTTCTTCAACTGGAAGCAGGAGTTCAAGACCTTGGAAGTCACACTCCGGGATTTCTGCAAGTTGAGTAAGAAAGATATCAAAAATCTGGAGAAAATATTCAGCTCAGCTAAAAGCCTCAGGTTGCACATTAAGAGATGTGTCGGAATGGCTGGAAGCCTCAGTTCAGTCCTCAGCACCTGTGAGAACATTCATTCCCTCATAGTGGAAGCCAGTCCCCTCACCCTAGAAGACGAGCAGCATATCACATCTGTGACAAACCTGCAGACCTTGGGTGTTCATGACCTACAGGTTCAACGGCCGCCAGGTATTATGAACACCAGCAGTTTAACCTATAATCCAACCTGGTTACTTACTGCAGAATTTAGCTATCATTTGTTTTGCTTGAAATTTTCCAATAGTTTCGACCAGGAGTCAGGACTTAGAAGGGAAGTGGGAGGGCTTGGGAGAGAGTTCCTTGCTGGGGGAAGGCTGTCAGGTCGGGAGGCCCTAGGGTAGATTCCCGGAACTGAAATGCTATAGCCTGACTGCATAGTTATGTGGCAGTGTATGGTGGTGTGTGAGTGTGTGTGTGTATGTAGGCATGTGTGTGCGTGTGTATGTATACAGTAGGTTAAGTTTGTTTTCTGTGAACCCTCCATCTTGTCAGCAGCACTGTCTCCCAACACTCACTGCTTTCCTACCAAGTAGCACCTGTCCTTCTTTGAAGTCTGGGAGGGAAACCACCCATTAAATGATCACATGCAGAAGCTAGTGGCCAGTCGTGTCAGCACATACCCAGTCCCACCTCCACCCCAAGCATCATTGATTTTGAAAGAAAATTTTGGGAACAGGTTTTGCCTAACATGAAGAAATTCGAGACATCAGACACAATACATGTGGGGTAAATCTTTCTGGGTTAAGGGGAGTTGTCCCCAAATTCAAAATAACACTAAAGGTGACAGTTACTTGTGTAGACCCTTACCTGTGTAGACCAGCCACACCTGCGTAGATCCCTCCTGTTGACCAGAGCAAGGGCTGCTGAGTTCTCTGTAGTTATGGGTCAACAGGAGCCTTGCTTTATGTGACTGTAATCTGTGATTGGTTTTCATCCACAAATGGTTTTCCTTTTGGCTCTGCCTCACCTGTCACCATGTAGGGGACATTTTCTATCATCTTGAGAACCTAGAATCTTTTGTACAGATAAGCTTTGCAACCTTCTACTTAATACAAGAATCCCTTCTATAAGGTTCTGGATAGTTACTCAGACTGTTAGACTACCTTCTCTGTTAGAAGGCTTATTGTCTCCTCTTGATGGCAATTCCTTTGTGCCAATTTGGCAAACTGGTCACTTACAGGCTGAATTTGATCTACATATAATTAAAAATTCCCTTGTTAATGCTAGCCAATATTTTGTTCTTAATATTTTAAATTTATTTTTTGAGTAATATATTCACATGGTCCAAATTATAAAATAATCTATAATGAAAAGTCTCCTTCCTTTCCCTCTCCCCTCACAATGATTCTTTTCCTTGAAGGAGCTGTCACCATTTTGAAGTTGGGAGATGTCATATGAAAATACAGGATTCTCATTTCTCTTGAAAATTACAGACTTGACAACTGCACTTGGTTTCAACTGGCTAGCGTTTCATGATCTGATCCTATGCTCTTTGGACAAGACACATAATCTCCAGTAAGACACAGAGGTCACCTATTCTACTTCTTGTAATAACATCATCTTCCTCACCCTCTTTGATATTTGAGTGTGTAATCAGCACTTATTTTTCTTACAGCTATGATCTAGTCACTACTGAAGAGCATGTAGGTTATTTTCAGGTTGGGCAATTATAAATAAAGCTACTATAAACATTATTATGCAAGTTTTTATGTAAAAATAAGCTTTCAATTCACTTGGGTAAATACCTAGTGCTGGAACTGCTGAGACATATGACAAGTGCTTGTTTAACTTTTGAAGAAACTTCCCAGCTATTTTCCACTGTGTACCGTTTACATTTTCAATAGCAATACATGAGAATTTTAGTTGTTCTGCATTCTCACTAGCACTTAGTATTCTTCCTATTTTTCTCTTTTGTTTCATTTTATAATTAAAAAAAAAGGAAACAACAATACCAAGTGCTGCTGAGGATATGGAGAAACTAGAACTCTATGCATAGTGTTATCTAATCAGAGTTGGCTGATAAAAGTTGAAAATTTTTCATGCGCTTATTTGTCAACTTAGTGAAATGTCTGTTCAAGTTTTTACTCACTCTTAATTGGGTTAATTTGTTTTCTTAGTGTTGCGTTTTAACTGTTTTTTTTTAATACATTCTGCATACAAGTCCTTTGTCAGATAAGTGATTTGAAAATATTTTCTCCAATCTGTAGTCTTTTTATTCTTTAAAAGTGTCTTTCATAGGACAAAAGTTATTGCAGTCCACTTTTTCTCTTTGTGAATCATGCTTTTGGTGGCATATCTAAGAACTCTTTGCATAACCCCAGGTCAACATGATTTTTTTCCATATTTTCTTTTGAAGCTTTACATTTTACATTTAGATCTGTGATGCATTTTGAGTTAACATTTGTTTAAGTGTTAGGTTTAGATCAAGGTTCATTTTTCGTCCCTATGGATATCCAGTTATTCTGTTTATTGAAATGACAATTATATCATGTTTGAATAACCTTTTAATCTTTGCCCAAATTATTTGGCTATAGTTGTATGGGTATAATTCTGAATACTATTTTCAATTGATCTTTCATGTGCCAATATCCATGCCTATTTTTTATCAATACTCCATTGTCTAAGTAACTTTCGCTTATAGTAAGTCATAAAATTGGGTAGTATTATTTCTTCAAATCACTTTTTCTTTTTCTAAAAAATTACAAAATATTCCAGTTCCTTTGTTCTTCCATATAAATTTTAGAATCACTTTTTTTTTTTTTTTGGCTAGGCCTCATAGCCTGTGGGATCTTGGGATCTTAGTTCCTCAACCAGGGACTGAATCTGAGCCCTCGGTAGTGAAAACATAAAGTTCTAACCACTAGACCAGAAGTGAATTCCAAAGAATCACATTTATATTGTCAAAAATTCTTCCTGAGATCTTGGTTGGAATTACATTGATCTACAGACTAATTTGGGGCTCTCCACGTGGGGCAAGTGGTAAAGAACACGCCTGTCAATGCAGGAGACGTAAAGAGACACTGGTTAGATCCTTGGGTCCTTAAGATCCCCTGAAGGAGGGCATGGAACCCACTTTAGTCTTTTTACCTGGAGAATTTCATGGACAGAGGAGCTTGGAGGGCTACAGTCCATAGCTTGATGAAGAGTCAGATATGACTGAAGTAACTTGGCACACACACGCATAGACTAATTTAGAGAGAACTGACATAATTTTTATGTTGAATATTTCAACCTATGACCATGGTTTCTCTTTCTATTTATTTAGATTTTTCTTAATTTTTTTTCATTATTTTGAACTTTTCATCATGTTGATCCTGTATATGTTTTATTAGATTTATACCTTTTACATTCTTTTGGAGCTATTGTAAATGGTATTTTAAAAAAATCTCGTTACTGGAATTTCCCTGGTGGTCCAGTGACTAAGACTTCTTGCTCCCAATGCAGGGGGCCTGGGTTCAATCCCAGGTCATGGAACTAGACCCCAAGTGCCACAACTAGGAGTCTTCAGGCTGCAATGAAGATCAAGATCCCTTGTGCTGCAACTAAGACCTGGTGAAGCCAATATAAATAAATAAATATCTTTTAAAAATCTGGTTACCAATTATTTATTGCTACTAGAGAAATTCAGTTCAGTTCAGTCACCCAGTCGTGTCCAGCTATTTACAACCCCATGGACTGCAGCACAGCAGGCTTCCCTGTCCAACACCAACACCCAAAGCTTGCTCAAACTCATGTCCATTGAGTCAGTGATGCTATCCAACCACCTCATCCTCTGTTATCCCCATTTCCTCCTACCTTCAATCTTTTCCAGCATCAGGGTCTTTTCAAATGAGTCAGCTCTTCACATCAGGTGGCCATGGTATGGAAGCTTCTGTTTCAGCATCAGTCCTTCCAATGAATATTCAGGACTGATTTCCTTTAGGTTGGACTGATTTGATCACCTTGCAATCCAAGGGACTTTCAAGAGTCTTATCCAACACCACAGTTCAAAAGCATCAATTCTTCAGCGCTCAGCTTTCTTTATAGTCCAACTCTTACATCCATACATGACTACTGGAAAAACCAAAGCTTTCACTAGATGGACCTTTGTTGGCAAAGTAATGTCTCTGCTCTTTAATATGCTGTCTAGGTTGGTCATAGCTTTTCTTCCAAGGAGCAAGCATCTTTTAATTTCATGGCTACAGTCACAATTTGCAGTGATTTTAGACCCCCCAAAAATGAAGTCTGTCACTGTTTCCACTGTTTCCCCATTCATTTGCCATGAAGTGATGGGACCTGATGCCATGATCATTATTTTCTGAATGTTGAGTTTTAAGCCAACTTTTTCACTCTCCTCTTTCATTAAGGGGCTCTTTAGTTCTTCACTTTCTGCCATGAGGGTGGTGTCATCTGCATATCTGAGGTTATTGATATTTCTCCTGGCATCTTGATTCCATGTGCTTCATCCAGTCCGGCATTTCGCATGATGTACTCTGCATGCAAGTTAAATAAACAAGGTGACAATATACAGCCTTGACATACTCCTTTCCCAGTTTGGAACCAGTTTGTTGTTCTATGTCCAGTTCCAACTATTGCTTCTTGACCTGCATGCAGATTTCTCAGGAGGCAGATAAGGTGGTCTGCTATTCCCATCTCTTTCAGAATTTTTCAGTTTGTTGTGATTCACACAGCCAAAGGCTTAGACATAATCAATAAAGCAGAAGTAGATGTTTTTTAGGAACTCTCTTCCTTTTTCAATGATCCAATGGATGTTGGCAATTTGATCTCTGCCATTCCTCTGGCTTTTCTAAATCCACTTGAACATCTGGAAGTTCACAGTTCACATTTTGCTGAAACCTGGCTTGGAGAATTTTGAGCATCACTTTGATAGCGTGTGGGATGAGTACAATTGTGCAGTAGTTTGAGCATTCTTTGGCATTGCCTTTAAACTGACTATTTCCAGTCCTGTGGCCATGCTGAGTTTTCCAAATTTGCTGGCATTTTGCGTGTAGCACTTTCACAGCATTATCTTTTAGGATTTGAAATAGCTCATCTGGAATTCCATCACCTCCACTAGCTTTGTTCCTAGTGATACTTCCTAAGGCCCACTTGACTTCACATTCCAGGATATGTGGCTCTAGGTAAGTGATCACACCATCATGATTATCTGGGTCATGAAGATCTTTTTTGTACAGTTCTTCTGTGTGTTCTTGCCACCTCTTCTTAATATCTTCTGCTTCTGTTAGATCCATACCATTTCTGTCCTTTATTGTTCCCATCTTTATTGTTCATCTTGCATGAAATGTTTCCTTGGTATCTCTAATTTTCTTGAAGATCTCTAGTCTTTCTCATTCTATTGTTTTCCTCTATTTCTTTGCATTGATCACTGAGGAAGGCTTTCTTATCTCTCCTTGCTATTCCTAGGAACTCTCCATTCAAATGGGTATCACTTTCCTTTTCTCCTTTGCCTTTAGCTTCTCTTCTTTTCTCAACTATTTGTAAGGCCTCCTCAGACAACCATTTTGCCTTTTTTGCATTTCTTTTTCTTGGGGATGATCTTGATCACTGCCTCCTGTACAATGTCACCAACCTCCATCCACAGTTCTTCAGGCACTCTGCCTACCAGATCTAATCCGTTGAATCTAGTTGTCACTCCCACTGTATAATAACAGATTTGATTTAGGTCATACCTGAACGGTCTAGTGGTTTTCCCCACTTTCTTCAATGTAAGTCTGAATTTGGCAATAAGGAGTTCATGATCTGAGCCACAGTCAGCTCCAAGTTTTGTTTCTGCTTACTGTTTAGAGCTTCTCCATCTTTGGCTGCAAAGAATATAATCAATCTGATTTTGGTATTGACCATCTGGTGATGTCCATGTATAGAGTCTTCTTTGTGTTGCTGGAAGAGGGTGTTTGCTATGACCAGTGCATTCTCTTCACAAAACTCTATTAGCCTTTGCCCTGCTTCATTCTGTACTCCAAGGCCAAATTTGCCTGTTACTCCAGGTATTCCTTGACTTCTGACTTTTGCATCCCAGTCCCCTATAATGAAAAGGACATCTTTTGGGTGTTAGTTCTAGAAGGTCTTGCAGGTCTTTAGAGAACCACTGTTCAACTTCAGCTTCTTCAGCATTACTGGTCAGGGCATAGATTTGGATCACTGTGATATTGAATGGTTTGCCTTGGAAACAAACAGAGATCATTCTGTCATTTTTGAGACTGCACCCAAGAACTGCATTTTAGACTCTCTTGTTGACTATGAGGGCTACTCCATTTCTTCTAAGGGATTCTTGCCCACAGTAGTAGATATAATGGTCATCTGAGTTAAATTTGCCCATCCCAGTCCATGTTAGTTCACTGATTCCTAAAATGTCAATATTTACTCTTGCGATCTCCTGTTGGACCACTTCCAATTTACCCTGATTCATGGACTTAACATTCTAGGTTCCTATGCAATATTGCTCTTTACAGCATTGGACTTTACTTCCATCACCAGTCACATCCACAACTGGGTGTTGTTTTTGCTTTGGCTCCATCTCTTCATTCTTTCTGGAGTTATTTCTCCACTCTTCTCCAGTAGCATATTGGGCATCTACCGACCTGGGTTCATCTTTCAGCGTCCTATCTTTTTGCCTTTTCACACTGTTCATGGGGTTCTCAAGGCAAGAGTACTGAAGTGACTTGCCATTCCCTTCTCCAGTGGACCATGTTTTGTCAGAACTGTCCACCATGACCCGTCCATATTGGGTGGCCCTATACAGCATGGCTCATAGTTTCATTGAGTTAGACAAGGCTGTGGTCCATGGGATCATTTTGATTAGTTTTCTGTGATAGTGATTTTTATTCTGTCTTCCCTCTGACAGATAAGGATAAGAGGCTTATGGAAGCTTCCTGATGGGAGAGACTGACTGTGGGGGAAACTGGATTTTGTTATGATAGGCAGGGCCATACTCAGTAAATCTTTAACCCAATTTTTTGTTGATGGGCAGGGCTGTGTTCCCTCCCTGTTGTTTGACCTGAGACCAAACTATGCTGGAGGTAATGAAAATAATGGAAACCTCCTTCAGAAGTTCCCATGCTCGCACTGCCACAGCCAGTGCCCCCGACCCTGCAGCAGAAATACAACTGATTTTTGTATGTTGATATTGTACTCTGTATCTATGATCAACCTATTTCATGTCCCCTCCAAAAACAATATTTTTATTTCTTCCATTCCAATTTGTATACTTTTTATTTCATTGTCTTATCTTATTGCATTGATTATGACTTGCAGTACACAGTGTTGAACAGAAGAGATGAGAGTGAACATCCTCCCTTGTTTCTGATCTTAGGGAGAAAGCATTCAGACTTTCACTATTAAGTATGACATTCATTAATTGTCATTTTTTGTTTTTTTTTAAGATGCCTTTTATCAGGTTGAGGAAGTTTCCTTCTGTTCCTAGGTGGCTGAAAGTTTTTCTCATGAATAATTATTAGATTATGACAAATATTTTTCCTGTATCAATTTACATGATCATTTCATTTTTCTTCTCTAGACAGTTAATATAGTGAATTACATGGATTGATTTTCAAATATCAAAACAATCCTGCATTCCTATATGAAGCTCACTTGGTGGTAGTATAATATTCTTTTTATGTATGGCTGGACTCCTTGGTAATATTTTGTTGAGAATTTTGGCTTCTGTGTTCATGAGTGATACTGCTTCAAAGTTTTTCTTGTTTTATTTTCTTGGTCTGAGTTTCATGTTGGTTAATGGTAGCTTCATAAAATGAGTTGGGAAGTGTTGCCTGTGTTTTTTGTTTCCTGATAGTTATTGTGTAGAATTGATGTTATTTCTTCTTTGAATGTTTAGTAGAATTTGCAAGTTAAATTATCTGTGCTTGAAGCTTTCTTTTTTGAGAAAAATTTAAACTACAAATTCAATGTCCTTAGTTACATAGGACTATTCAGGTTATTCACGTAATGGTGGATAAATTTTAGTAGCTTGGGGCTTTCAAGAAATTATGTAGTTTTCAGTGCAAGTTTGATGTATGAAGCAGGGTACTCAAAGTCGGTGCTCTGGGATGAGGTGGGGAGGGAGGTAGGAGGCAGGTTCAGGACAGGGAGACACATGTGCACCCATGGATGATTCATATCGATGGATGGCAAAAACCACCACAATATTGTAAAGAAATTATCCTCCAATTAAAATAAATTAATTAATTTTAAAAAAGAATTGTGTAGTTTTATCTGTAAAAATCCTATGGATAGAAGAGCCTGATGGGTCAGAAGAGCCCCATGAGGTCACAGGAGTCAGACACAACTGAGCGACTAAAACACACACATCTGTGTTGTCAAATTTACGTATATTTTTCTCTGTTCTTTTAACATCTGTGATTTCTGTATTGTTATCTTCCTTTTCATTTCCGATATTGGTAATTTCTTTTTTCTTCATTTTCTATTTATCAGTCTTGCTAGAGATTTATCAAATTTATTGACCTTTTCCTGGATACAGCTTTCAATTTCCATTGATTTCCCCCTATTGTTTATCTGTTTGCAATTTTTTTTTTAAATTTATGCCCTTTATTATCATATTGCTTCTTCTTCCATTGGGTTTATGTTGCTCTTCTCTGTCTAGTTTCTTAAGCAAGCTTAGGTTTCTGATTTGAAAATTTTCCTTATTTCTAATATAAGTATTCAATGCTCTAAATCTCCCTTTAAGCAACTGTTAACTTGTGATTTTGATATATTTTAGTTTTTAAAAATGTTTTTTCAAAATATTATCGAATTTTCCTTCAGACTTATTTGATGCTTGTATAGAAGTGTGTTGTTTAGGCTCGGTCCTGTCAGACTCTTTGCGACCCCATGGACTGCCATGGACTGTAGCCTACTGGGCTCCTCGGTCCGTGGGGTTTTCCAGGCGAGAGTGCTGGAGTGGGTTGCCGTTTCCTTCTCCGGGGGATCTTCCCGGCCCGGGGATCGAACCCGGGTCTCCAGCATTGTAGGTAGCCGCTTTACCGTCTGAGCCGCCGGGCAATACCGAAGAAAGCTTATTTCCTATAAACAAGAAATAGGGGACAGGGAGAGGCCGTGTCCCGGGGAGGACCCCGGGGGGTCCTGCGCTGTCTCAGCCCTCGGACAAGCAGCACAGGGGGAGGAGAGGGACTGCGCTGATCTGAGTCACAGGACTCGGAACCCTGCACTTTGAGATCCCCTAGGACAGGGACCCCTTTCAGCGCCCGATTTGGAAAAGAGAAGGGCGGGGCCCCCGCGGTACCTTCGAGCCAGTTGGATGAGGCTTTCTTTGGGACCTTGTGGCTGCTTTCCCACCCATCCCACCCGGACGCGGCATATTTGAGAATGGAGGCTACCGGGTACACCCACGATTGTGCTGGGAGGGTCGAGGGACCCTCCCGGTCACGGGAAACAAGCGGGGGTGAGTGTCGCAGCCTGTGGAGTGACTAGCAGGAAATGGCACGCGAAGCGCATCATTTCGACTTTTCACTCTTACTGTACTCATTCCCCGAATGACCACAGCAAGGGGGAGGGGGTCGGAGAGAGAAAAACCTTGCGAAATGGAAGGAAAAAGAGATCTGAGAAACTAAAGCTGCAGGCGGCGGGGGGAAAGTTGTAGTGAAACCGGCAGCTGCGGCGAGCTGGGAAGCCGCTGGGAGGGGAAGAGGCGGGGCTTAAGGCAACCTGCTGCGGGGTGTAGACAAAGGCGACTTGGGAGGCAGAGGCCGGGGCGGGATCAGTCGCTACTATCAGCCTGGGGAGAGCGCCAGCGGCTGGACTCCCGCGTGGAAACCCGGGAAATTCACCAGCCTCCCCTTCAGGGTAGGAATGCCCGGAGTATGCACCAAGCTAAGAACCCAGAGGGAAGAAGTAAGTTTGGGAGAGGACTTAACCGATTTTGACGGTCTTTGAGCTCTGAACTCCTCTTGGAGGCATGCCTTCGCCGATGCGTTCCCTCTTCATCGTTTCTGTCTCTTGTGTCATCGTTTTCATCGTGTTTTGCGTGTTCAACTTTAGGGGAGAGCAAGGCTTCCAGAAGCTAAGTAACTCAGACACTTGGATGCTGACTCAAGTTTGCACATCCCTTATTAAAGACAAAACACCATTACTCTGGAGAAACAAACTGATGATGTATGGGAAGTCTTCCTGCAAGGCGTCCGTGACCCAAAGCCACTACATCACGGAGCCCTTATCCAAGGAAGAAGCCGAGTTTCCTTTGGCATATATCATGGTCATCCATCACAACTTCGACACCTTTGCAAGGCTCTTCAGGGCTGTTTACATGCCTCAGAACGTCTACTGTGTACATGTGGATGAGAAAGGGACAGTTGAGTTTAAAGACTCAGTGGAGCAGTTACTGAGCTGCTTCCCAAATGCTTTTCTGGCTTCCAAGATGGAGCCCGTGGTCTATGGTGGGATTTCCAGGCTCCAGGCTGACCTGAACTGCATCAAAGATCTTGCAGCCTCGGAGGTTCCATGGAAATACGCCCTCAACACCTGTGGGCAAGATTTCCCCCTGAAAACCAACAGGGAAATCGTTCAGTATCTGAAGGGATTTAAAGGGAAAAACATCACCCCCGGGGTGCTGCCCCCCGCTCACGCAATTGGGCGGACTAAGTATGTCCACCGAGAGCACCTAGGCAAGGAGCTCTCCTATGTGGTGAGGACCACAGCCTTGAAGCCGCCTCCTCCTCACAACCTAACCATCTACTTTGGCTCTGCCTATGTGGCCCTGTCCAGAGAGTTTACCAACTTTGTCCTCCACGACCCACGGGCCCTTGACTTGCTCCAGTGGTCCAAAGACACATTCAGTCCGGATGAACATTACTGGGTGACGCTCAATAGGATTCCAGGTGTTCCTGGCTCCATGCCAAATGCATCATGGGCCGGTGACCTCAGAGCTGTGAAGTGGTTTGACATGGAAGATAAACACGGAGGCTGCCACGGCCACTATGTCCACGGCATTTGTATCTATGGAAACGGAGACTTAAAGTGGTTGATTAATTCGTCAAGCCTCTTTGCGAACAAGTTTGAGCTCACTGCGTACCCCCTCACTGTGGAATGCCTGGAACTGAGGCTTCGAGAAAGAACCCTGAATCAGAGTGAAATTGCGATACAGCCCAGCTGGTATTTCTGATCCACTGCTACTCAATGTCTGAAGGGAAATCGCCTCTGGGAAGGAGAGCCTTTCTTTGGGCGAAAAACTTTGCCTGGGTTATGTGAACAGTCTCAGGGCCAAGGTTATAGCTTCAGGACCTGACTACATAATTACACATCAAAATGTCCGCTAGACACTGTGAAATGTGCTGTCAGGATGCTTGCACGGTGATACTGGCCCTTAGGCCACTCTGACAGTTTCTTGAGGTTCACTGCTCTTTCAGGCTCATGTCCTGATCTGTAATAAATTAAACTGTCGTCAGATCTCTGCATCAGATCCTCATCGTAGACAAATGTTCTCATGAAAAGGAGATTGGTAGATAATACTATTTAGGGAAATAAGAATCAAGTTTCTCTGAGGAAGGAATCTTTTATCACACATCTGTAGCCTCACATGAATGGACTCCCCCTGCTTTTTGCTCAGCTGCATGTCGGCATACAAACTGCTTTCTGCGGAACTCTCCAATCTCCTTTAGAACTTGAGCTGCTAGAACTGAGAACTCGGTCTTGTTCCTGAGTTTCAACAGTAGCATTTTCAAATTTCCTGTGCCTACAGTGGTTTTTTTTTTTACATTCTTGTATAGAATGTAAAGTCATTCACAGGAGACCAAATTTAAGACAGCAGTCACTGCCTGCTACTTCAGTAAAAGATCCTCAGGTAGTTCGCTTCTTGAATATCTGTCAGAGTGTCCTCTGATTCCCTCGTCCATCATTGTCCATTAGGAACATGGAAAAGTTCTCGATGAATGAAGATATTTCAAGAGGGGAAGTGCTATTGCATGCGCTTGACTATTTCAGGGTAAATCACTTCCCTTTTTTGCCTCCACCCCCACCAAAGTGGGGCTTCCCCGGTAGCTCACTGGTGAAGAATCTGCCTGTGATGCAGGAGACACGGGAGATCCGGGTTCGGTCCCTGGGTCAGGGGGATCTGCTGGGGAGGGAGGTGGCTGCCCACTTCGGTGTTCTTGCCTGGGGAATCCCGTGGACGGGGAGGCCTGGTGGGCTACTGTCCATGGGGTCGCGAAGAGTCGGACAGGACTGAGCAACTAAGCATGCACATACCTCTGAAGTGATCTTACCTGCAAAACGGAGACCAAATTCTATCCCATGAGCCTTTAAGGAGTCCACAGTGTTCTCTGGGTAACTTTGCAGTGCCTGTGGGGGTCATAGGAGTGCCTGGATTTTTAAAAGCTTCCAATTGTGGGAGAGCCTCTTTGTCACTTATGCTTTGTCCCATTCATCCATCCAGTCCATCAGTATTTCTTTGGTGTCTATTATACACCAGACACATGCAGAGACAAGAAGTGAGAAGCTTTTTCACTCTGAAAATCTTGGCAATAATGCCAACATTGGCAAGAGAATCTTCTAGAACTCCCGAGAATCTCACAGAGTGTATCATCCCTCCGGCTCCGGCCACCCCACAAGGCATGTGGAACTCCCCTGACCAGGGATCAAACCCACGGCCCCTGCAGTGAAAGTGCGGAATCCTAACCACTAGACCACCAGGGAGTGGCTGTATACAACCAGAGTGGTTGTATTTTAACACATTCATGGTGGGCCTATGGATTGTCATATCAGGCCCCAGATATCACCAATTACAAAGTGAGGCCTAAATCAATAAAGAGAATATTCCGAAGAGAGAAGGGAGGGAGGAGACAGAGGCCACAGTGATTGTTTTCTAGGCATCCTGCTTTCTCTTTTACATCTCAGGGCATTCAGATCTCACAATGCTCTTGCAAAACTCATACAATTACCAATTACCCCCATCTTGCAGATGAAGTGACTGAGGCTTAGAGAGGTTGTTAGTAAGCATGAGGAAACTTGTTCTCTGAGAATCAGGCTTCTCTTACTGGTCTCCTTAGTTCATTTCCTAAGGTGGAGCATCTCGAGAAGGTGAAGTGAAGCCATATTTAGCATCCCAGAATGGTCTCAGTCCTGTCACGTCAGAAAAATGTGAAGTCTCCTTTTGTACTCTTTCCAGTTCCTTGATAGTTATTTATTCTAATGAAAAACAGCAACTATAACTAATGATACATTTAATCCATGCAATGTTACTTTTTCTGCAATTGTGCCTGTTGAATGTTAATCATATTTAACTTAAGGAAGCCCTTAATCATATTTAATGACCTTGAATTTAATGACTTTTAATGATTTCAAAGTAAAATCTGTCTTTTTTCCTGTTGCCGAGAGAGATGGAAGTGCACCTGGTGATGAAAAGTCAAGGGGTAGGGAACACACCCAGAGCTAAAGGCAGAATTTAAAATCACCTTTTTTTTTTTTAACTTACATCACACCACTTGAGAAGAGGAATGCTTTACACTGGATCTTTCTCTTGTAGAAGAAGAAATCTTTTGGAATAGATGTTTACATGTCTGTTGTTGGTCATTTGTTCTGTGTCTTAAATTACTTTAATGTTGGGAGAGTTTAATGTTTGGACTAGTGGGTTTCTGCGGGCCCATGGAGATGCCCTGAAAATTTTGTTTTTGATGATGTTCCATGTTGTTTTCTTGGAAATAAATTAATATATTGTTTTCCACACTGAAAAAAAAAAAAAGAAGTGTGTTGTTTAATTTCCACCTGTTTGGAGATTTCCCAGTTACCTTTCCAGTATAATTCCATTATATTGGGAAGACATGCTTCCATCTCTGACCAAAAATTATATATTTGTGTTTCAATTTCATGAACATTTCTTGCCCATGGTAGAGCAAAATTCTTTCGATTGGACATAGAAGTCTAGTAAATGACAGCTGAACACCAATCCCTTTTCTTTTGGCAGGTGGTCTGACTGACAGTTTAGGTAATTTGAAGAATCTTACGAAGCTCATACTGGATAATATTAAGATAAATGAAGAAGACGCTTTAAAACTAGGTCAGATTTTTGTTTTCTCTAATATTTTTATTAATATAAGTTTAATAATAAGAACAGTAAAGACTCTGACACTGACTGTGTTTATACAATGCAAGAAGAAGGCCTTTATGTACTTGGTGTCCTAATGCATTTCCTTTCCATTGGTTTGCAGCTGAAGGTCTGAGAAATCTGAAAAAGATGTGCTTACTTCATTTGACCCACTTGTCTGATATAGGGGAAGGAATGGATTACATAGTCAAGTCTCTATCAGCTGAACCCTGTGACCTTAAAGAAATTCAATTAGTCTCCTGCTGCCTGTCAGGAAATGCTGTGAAAACCCTAGGTAACTGCTGCCTACATTGAATGAAAACAGTATAAGAAAACATGACATATGTTTATACTAAGGCATACTAAATCTCTCAAATGGAAATTTAGTCTTTAGAGAAATTGGAAAAGATAATAAAGACTTCTAGGTAACATCTATGCTATTTTTATGATCTTCTCTGTGATTGGAATGAAAATGTATTATGGATGAATAATAGGAGAAAATTTTGGGATAATTGAAGATGTCATTTTAAGACAGGGTAAGTGAAAGTGAAAGTCACTCAGTTCAGTTGTGTCCATGGAATTCTCCAGGTCAGAATACTGGAGTGGGTAGCTGTTCCCTTCTCCAGGGGATCTTCCCAACCCAGGGATCGAACCCAGGTCTCCGTACCTGGGTGGATTCTTTATCAGCTGAGCCACCAGGGAAGCCCAAGAGAGGGTAAAGAGGAAGAAAATAAGAAATGAGTGATTGAAACTTGGCACATTCTGTTATATAATAACTGCTTAATAAAATTTTGATTGAATGGATAAATAAGTGATTGAGAAGCAGAGATAGAAGGATTTTCTTAAATGTTCTCTGTCCTAATTCTTACTTATTGCCCTGTTAAGATGGAGGCAATATGCATCAGTATAAGAGCTGACTCTTGAGTTCCTAAAGGATGTATATACCAAGTATGGGGAAACTTTTGCGTATTTCTGGATAAACTAGATATGGTCAATTTAGATGTTTTTTTTAATTTAGGATTTTGGAGAAAAGATGGTCTAGCCCTTTAAAAAACAGAATAAACAACTGCTAAGAATCTGTAAACTTTCCTAAGAAAATTATGTATACGCCAATGTAAACCAAAAGTTAGAGAAACCTAAGGATTAGAAAAGGCCAAACAATGAGAAGCGTAAGAATGACGATCACACTCCTTTACTTCTTTACTTGCCCTGGGGAGAGACAGGCTTAGAACTGCAAGTAGCAGCTGTACTCTTTTTAAGAGGAGCTCTGCAGGTTTTAAAAAATTGTTTATTTATTTAGGCTCTGTTGGGTCTTTGTTCTGCTTGGGCTTTTCTCTATTTGCCACAAGCAGGGGCTACCCTCCAGTTGCTTTCTGACTGAAGTGGCTTCTCCTGTTGAGGAGTACAGGCTCTAGGGAACACAGGTTTCAGTAGCTGTGGCCCCAAGGCCCTATAGCACAGGCTTAGTAGCTGTGGTGCATGGGCTTAGTAGCTGTGGTGCACGGGCTTAGTAGCTGTGGTGCACGGGCTTAGTAGCTGTGGTGCACGGGCTTAGTAGCTGTGGAGCACAGGCTTAGTAGCTGTGGTGCATGGGCTTAGTAGCTGTGGTGCACGGGCTTAGTAGCTGTGGTGCACGGGCTTAGTAGTTCTGTGACCTGTGGGATCAACCTGGACCGGGGATGGAACCTACGTCTCTTGCATGGGCAGAAAGATTCTTTACCACTGAGCCACCAGGCAAGTCCCAGGCTTTGTATTTTAAACCAAATCAGAGAAGATACTTTACTCTAAGAAAAGGGTTCATATGATCGATTAAAAATAATAATAGCTAATATTATAACAAGAGTATGTATTCATTAAAAAACTGACTAGTTTCTAAAGGGGATACTTCCAATCAGTGTTGACAGGAAAAACTTCAACTAAATTAAACAACCATGATAAATACCTGAAATGAAGAAAAGAAGCAGTTCTTCACTAGAATGATAGTGTCAGAAGAGTGTAATTCCGTCAGCTCTGTCTCGCCATGACAAAGGTTTGAAACAGTGGACCTGTGTTACAGCTCAGAGTTTTCTTCAGCAAACAAAGGA